ATATAATGTTTAGAAAGGAGCAAAATACCTCTTAAAATGAACTTAACGTAGAGATGATAGAAGATTGCAATGGGCACATACTGAGCGTTAAGCATATTTAGTACCCTACTTTTACTTTCAGATAAGTTGTTCTCAATACTTTTTTGCTAAGCTAAGCAGTGGCACTGTATAGGTAATGATTATGGGCTATTCCAGTGAATGCATAAAGATAATTTCATTTCTGTGAGTAGTGCCATTGAATGCAATGGGACTATTTCCATGTATAAAGTTAGCCTGGAGCGTAAGTGTGGGCGAGATTGAATTGTGGGAAAGATTGAATATATACTTCACCTCTTGCAAAAAGGCTCTCAGGTAACAGAAATATGAAAGCTCCGCGTAGACCTTCTGTTCTGGAAGATCAGTTATGGATTGTCTTGAAAAGTGGGTGTGAAATCTACGTATAATACAGCATTGCAAAGCAAAAGAACTGGAAATGTAAGCAAAGAACCAGTTGTTAAGGTAATGCGTTCTCTTACAGTTATGAAAATCTTTCATCTGAGGCTTTCGAAGCACTTGGTGCTTAAGTGAGCGTTACATATTCTTTTAGAAAGGTACTGCTAAGTATTGTCACATGGAGCAGTGAGGAGATTATGAATGGCTGGTCAAGGAACATGCAGTGAAATAATGAGCATTTGTGATTCCTAATGCTCTCCTTTACGATGAGGAATTATCTTTCCTAATGCTCAATATCGGCCTTAGGCCACAGGTTGGTCTCTGGCTGCGGCCGTTGTACAGAAACTGTTAGCCAGTTCTATCTTCTTCCAGGAAGAATGAGGAGGGTACGGCTATTCCTAGAAAATACAAGACTGTGCTGGGCAAAAAGGAGATGCTGTGTGTTAATAACTGGACTTTGGTCTTTGCAAAGAGAAGCTCTTCAGGAGATTTGGAATAGGACACTGTCTTGCTCTTTTCTGTGGTCACTTACTCTTCTTCCCCAAATCAACATACTCTTAGGCCTGGTTTGCAAACTCTTTTGCAGTGCTGGTAGTGCACATGAGCAGGGTATTCTTTGCCCATCTACTGTAACCCTGGATGTGGACCCAGCCATACCAGCCTGCACAGCAGCACTGCCTATGTCAGCAGCTTACTCTATTCTGTGGGTGTGAGACACTTCCATTGAAACACTTTTACACTACTATAACGGAATTTTCCTTTGGAAGACCCTAGTGCCTAATGTATAATCTTTCAAGTTTATAAACCAGTGGTGAAGAATTTTAAACCCTAATATAATGGTAAGAAGTTTCCAAGATCTGGGAAAATTTTAAGGCATTTATTGCTGTGATGGAGGGAGGCAGTTTATTGCTGTGTTTCCGAATGAGAAATGAGTTGCCCAAAGGCTACACTAAGCATGGTATAAAAACAATGAAGAACTAAAGGGAAGCCACGTCACCTGCTCCTGATGGATCACCTTTTCCTTACACTCCACTATAGGAGCTTGGACTGGAGTATCCTGGAGCCAGTCTCACTGTGCCCACGATTGGAAGGCTACAGGGACTGGCTTTCACCCCACATCCAAATCAGTGAAGGGAAGGAAATCTGTGAAGAATCCCTCTGGTAAAAGAAAAAGCAGAAGTTATTTTTCTTTTAAAATCTGTGTGGGGCCCATGTGGAGGGACATCAGCTGGCAAATGTATTTGTAAAGCCTCTCAGGCCCTGCCTGGAGCACTTTGTTGGGTTAGCTGGATCTTTGCATTGATGTGCGTTGCAGTTAACAAAAGATTTTTGCCTGTGTTAAATGCTGTCTGTCCCTGAACAAAATCCCCTGCAACAGCATACTGATTTATTTTATGCTGGGGCACTTGTGTCAGAGGCACATCACTCTGAGGAATGGAGATCTTTTGTAGGGGAGAACTTTTAGCTTGTACGGCAGATCATTAATGTGTAGACCTGGCTTCTGCATGAGAGGGAAAGGAGACTCTCCAAAGAGCTGAAGTTTACCATATCCAGCCCCGCTGTCTGCCCACCCTGTGGGGCAGGCTCAGTCTGCAGGCTCTGAATCATGCAGGCAGCTATTTTTTTGGGACTCTTCTTTAAGCAAAGCGTTCAGAAATGGCCTGTCCCACATGCCACTAGGTGGCACTTTATGGACATGGCAGTCACTTAGTTTTATTCATTATGCATGAGCTGCATCCCAGAACTAGTTCTTTTTTTTTTTTTTTTTTTAAGGGTACCTTTTTTTTTTTTTTTTCCCCCCTCCCTCCCCCGCTGGCTGCTGAGCTTTGCCATCCTCACCTCCTGGCAGCAGGGAGGAGCGGCCAGCACAGTGGCCCAGCCTCAGTCAGCAGGTACCACAGCTGTTAGGCTGACAGCCATGTCACAGCACGCAGCTAGCAAAAACGTGTCTTGCATCAGTAGGAACTGTGATGTCAAACTGTTGGAAATTTTGAAATCTTACCTTTTTTGGGTTCAGCACTCCAATTTATATTTGCTTCCACCAGAACACAAAGTTTACCTTTTTTCCCCCTTTTCAGTTCCCTTCAGTTTAAAACAGTATTCTCCTGCAATGAGACTGTTAAAAAAAAAGGGGGGGGGGAAGTCTGCAAAAGGTTGGGGTGGGTTTTTTTCCCCCCTCCAGGTCCTTTATCTTACTGTGATTTCAATTTTCCTGTTTATTTGCAATTGACATTGTAGAGTACCAGTCTATTTAGTGACTTCTATACTGTTTGAACACCTCAGTTCTTAAAAAGCTGCATTTTATCTCTACATAAATAACACGGGGTTGGTCTCCTTTCTTTTTCATTCTGTGGAATAAGCTAATATATTCTTGCTTTTGATGCAAGGTTTAGTATAGACTCCAACAAGAGTGTGAGCACCAGAGACTGCCCTCCTGGCCAGGTTAGGGAGATACCTAGTGCTCCCTGTCCAAGAAAGGTCGTTAGGAGTTGGCTCTCGTATACCTCTGTCATTGCTCTGTGTTGTGCAGCAAAGCTATACCATGAGGAGTACATAGTATGCGAATTACGTGGCTCTCTGAAAGACTGTGTTTACTCTTGCTGTCCCTAAATGAATGATTTGTCAAAGTGATGTGGTTTGGGGCCACATTTATACTGTGGCTCTGTTGGGTCTTTGAGCTTTGCTATCCCCAAATCATTCATGAAAGCCTCATGGACTTTGCCAGGCTACTGTTACCAGTGCTTAGAGCCTTCATTTCTTTCAAATATATAAAAAATGGTTGTAGAAATCAGGGAGGTTATGGGTTATTCAGCTTGCTGATGAAGAAATGCTCTGTTGTGTTAAATGGACTTCTAGAGGTCTTTAATTTTTTTGTAGACAGAAAAAAAGATTGCTTTTTCCATTTCACTCTCCTATTTGCACCAGGAATCTATAGTTACAGAAGAAGCACTTCAACCCATGAAAAGGTTTCCAGAATTCAAATGTTAGTATCCATTAGTTATTAAAATCCTAATATTTAAGATATTAATATTCAAATACTGGAAAATTACAGGGTGAGTTGTTGGGGGGGGGGTTTTAATCATCAGATAACACTACAGATGTAGCACACTTAGAAGAGGGGGGCAGAGAAATCTTGTCAGCCAAACCACCTTTTCTTCCTCCCCCAAGGAATTTCACATGCGTTTTAAGAGAAGATCCCAAATCTCCCTCCTTTGCGCATATGTTTGACACCATACAGTTGGAGAACAGCAGTAACCTGACAGAGCCATGTTCCCCCTGCCTCTTTCTGTACGGCTCTTACTGTGTCTGTTATGGAAGTGGTATGAAAAAGTCCCTCCTTTTTAAATATATGAAATTCTATGCTTTCTGTCATTTTTCTTTAACTTATGGTTAAGCACTGGGAAGCTTGTGACTGCTACAGAGCTTGATGGGCCTATGCAGAAACCTCTTGGCAACAGCGAATTAAGTTCATCAGTGTGCGACAGGTTATTGTTGTTGTTATGGCTAAAATCCTGGCCCCTTGAAAGACTGAGGTTTGCCTTGAACTTGGTTTTAAATGCAAGCTTTCACCTGCATAGAAATGAGCCTTTTTTGAGGAGGGAGCAGGATGGCAGGTCACCTCTCCTGCCTGGGGGCCGTTGTCAGCATGGCTCCAACTTGGCAGAAGTTGGGAAGGAGGAGGAGATGCTGTCTGCCCGCGCGATGTGCCCTCAGCCTCCTGCTCCTGCCTGCCTTCCCCCTCTGGGAGAGCCAGCCCGTACCTTCTGGACACCGCGTTCGTTCCAGGCTTGCTGCTGTGTGCCCAGGGACAGGCAGCTCCAAATTCTGCTGCCCTCCCCTGGTCAGTGTGCTGTGCCCTGTCCTGGTGAAGCAAACTGAAAGATGTGGGAAGATTTCAGGAGAGGCAAAGCAAGGGATTAACTCTCTGTTTTAATTTGCTGCTCAGTCAGATATGCTGGGGGGAGGGTGTTCTGCTTTGCTGGTGTAGACCTGTGTGGCGAGCGTTCAGCTTGGTTTCTGTTTGAAATGTGAGAAGGGAGGAGGGAAGATTTATTTGGCTTCTTTTATGACTTGTGTTTTCAGTAACTTTACTGGAATTTTTGGTATAATTCAGCCTTTCTCGCTCCAGCCTTGCAAACTTCAAAGACAGAAGTTTACGCCAATGAATTTTCATCGGTTTCAGGAGATAAGATGACAGGGTGCATCGAAGATCCTTCTAGCTTTTATCCACCCCCCTTAGTCTTTCTCTGAGTATTTAGGCCATAAGGGTAACTCTAGAAGAAATTCTGGGTACTAGGTTATTTACATTGAGACATGGTTCCTAATGCTTCACAGAAAAACTTTTCTCTTGTTTTACTAGCACAATAAAATGCAAGAAAACTATTTCCATTAAAAATCTGCAAAAGGCGTATGTCATCCATTCAGCTGTCACCCTAGATCTCCATTTCCCTTACTGTTGAATTGTTAAAGTAACTTTTCTTTTCTGTATAACGTTTCCTTTCATTGGCTTCATTGTATGTGAGCGCTAGTTGTTTTCTGGTGTAGCAATGACTGATTTGTTGTTGCAGACAGAGCAACCATCTGAGGTTGAATTACATCCTCAGACGAATAGACCCCCATCGCAGGCAGAAGAAAACAGTGCAGCAAAGAAGGTGAGACCTGCGCACATTGTGTCATTGCGGAGTGATTTGCCTTCATCAACAAATGTGGTTGTTTTAAGTTTTAAAGCAATTAAATGGAGGGTTGGAGTTACGTTTTTACACGTTTACCTTCTCTGGAGGTCAAGGCGCTAGAGAGAACCAGGATCAGCTCAGATAAATCATTAAGAAAGCTCTTAGTACATACACATTGATGCACGTGCTTTAAGAGAGGCAGCTTGCCATTTGTTTCAAATCAATAGGAGCTTGTGGAGCCTTAGGGAATACAAAAAAGAGTTTGATTTTACTCGACCCCTTCTCGCTGTAATACTTCCAAATTGTGACGTACTTCTTACTTCCAGTTATTGAGGATTCGGTTTTGATGTAAACACACCTGTTTGCTAGAGGTCAGGATCTGCCAGTAAATGTACATAGACTGGGAGAGATTTGCTCAAGATGTGCAGCTTCTAACATGTTTTTGTACAAACATATCATTTGGATAAAGTAAGCACTGAAATTGCAATGGCACTCTTCAAAGGGCCTTGCTTAGGGATGGAGTGGCCTTAGCAGTGGCTGGTGAGCATTTCCCCACTCCTGGTTACGCTCCCACCGCCTCCTTCCACCAGCCCCAGCCAGAACATGTTTTGACAGGGGGCAAATGCAGATCCTCCCCCCTCCGGCCCCTCCTGCAGCCAGGGAGCACCTGTAAGATGTTTGCTCAGCCCAAACAAGAACTGTTGGCAGGTGCTGTATGTAGTATGTACCTTGCCCAGGGAGCATCATCATGCTTCTTACCCTAACAAGGGGCACAGACAGATGTCTGGTGTAATTTCCTACATGTGATAGGGCTTGCCGGGCAGGTCCTTGCTCCGCTTGTGCTCGCTACATGCTACTTCTAGCCTGGCCCCACTTCTTGCTCTGCTTTGCAGCCCTGCAGGAGAAATTAAATCCTTGTGGTCCACCTATCTCACGCTTGCCTTCGTCCCACCTAGATCCCTAAAATACAGAGAAGGCCCAGGCTGTGGGGTGTGGGAGGTGTCGGCACGGTGCTGACCCACCTTCCAAAGCCTGGTGCAACAGCAGCCAGCCAAAGAGCCCCTGTGGAGGGCTCTGCTTTTAGGTATTGGATCATTTCTTCCAGTATTGCGTTTGAAATGGAAGAGGGCTTTATCCTATGGATTTGGTAGGGGTTTGGCAGTTTTAGGTAGGCTGGGATTGCGCATTTGGCAACCCACCAGTTTATAGTTGTAGAAGGCATACGCAAGTTCCTCTCTTGCCATACGTCATGTGTTTGCAGGGAGCTGCACATATGCATAGGATTTCAGAGCGCAGTATTACCCGGGATCTGTGCAGTGCTGACATTGTGATCAAAAGATCTCATAATATTTTTAGATTTTTTTATTTTAGTAATGGTAGAACTGTTTTTTAATGTTGAAACCCCCTGTTTCCTTATAATGCTAATTCCTCTTATAATTGTAATCCCTCTAATACTAATTATTGATGGTTTTATGTTGGGTTTCATTCTGTATCTCTTGTAGTCTCTTCTGCTGAGTCAGGCTGCTTACTGCAGTGTTGGGTTTTTTTCTTATGATTGCTGGGTCATGAAATGCTTCCTCATTTAATTTTTTCCTTATTTTATTAACATTTAGCCAAAACATAGTAAGGAAGATAGTTTGGCCCAGTAAAATGTGCACTGGGCAAGTGATAATAAAATTTGGTCTCTGGTCTTGATTGTGACACTAAATGTATAACCTTTGTCAAGTCACTTCATCTTTTTGAGTCTTAGCTTTCTCATTCATGAAATGGGATGGTAATAGTTATATACCTTGTAAAAGAGATCTAATAATAAAATACACTGAAAAGGATATATTTATATTTCAGATTTAAAACAGCTATAAGGCATTAAAACTACTTCTCATTACAAAAGAAAGGATGTCTTAATTCAAAATAATGAAAACACTTCTTACCACTGAAGTCATAAAAATCCAAGACTTTGTTTTACTTGCAAACCAGACTATTTCTGTGATGTAACTTATCAAGAGAAATAACTGGCCTCCTACACTTTCAACATGTTAATTTTGCATGGATTATTTTATACATTTGTCTTTCTAAGCTGTTTTCAGTGTTGCTTCATTTAAGAGAGGAGGGAGAGAAGGAAGAGACTCCATGCCAGATGAGTGAGGTAGTAAGTTGGGATGCAAGTGCTTGATTATTGACTCTTAGCAACTGAGCATAACTGAAAATAAGTCTTGTTTTGGTTTTAATGCTTTTGGGTCAACTGGGGGCTAGTATATCTATTTATAACCCTCCCTCCACACCCCGCCCCCCCCCAAATGTACACAGAGCTATACAATCCAGTTCTGAAGAGCCTGTCATCCAGATGAAGACAAAACACCAGTATAATCATTTCACTCGTTAAGGGGTTGCAGGAGTTATTGTTCCTTTTTTCAAAGTCAGAAACCTGAGAGGCTATTACCAAATTTAAATTAAGCTCTGTACCACTTTAAATTATGAAATCTTAGGCCAGCTGTCAGCAATTTCTGTGTCACAAGTATTCCCCAGCCTAATGATGGGATGCATATGGCCTGACCTAATGTTGCTGTTCTTCTCCCTTGCAGGAGGTTGTTCTTGCTCAGCCGCCCTCCAAACCCACCCGCAGGAAGCTCCGGACGGAGGCGCAGGGCTTGGAGACCCCAGAGCTTTCTCCCACTATAAATGTGACTTCTTCCCTGCCAACAGTCAAGCCTCACCTCCCAGTCCAAAAGTAAAAACCTGTACCAAGCATGCCAAACTGCACCATGAGATCTGATGTGGCAGGATTTGCTCTTTGCATAATGTTGTGCTTAATAGTTCTGGGTTTGAAAATGCTTCACAAGATACAGGTCTCTGAGATCTACATCTGTCTTCTCAAATGCAGACTAAGTCTGTAGTGACTGTATAAGTTGGTAATATTTGATTGATAGCCTCTTCAGAGGTGTCTGACCTCTCTATCTGGTAGACATGTCTGAAGAGCAAGCCAAGCTGTTCAGCCAGCATCTCTAACACATCTCCTTTTAGCTCTGTGGGTGTGTGTTTTTGCCTTTCCCATAGCTTCTGGAATTTTGTTCATTCATGTGGACAGATATGACCAGATAAATGCCCAGGAAATTGAGTCATGAAATGCTTGACCTTGGTCATATCTTTGTGATACTTCTTCATCGCAAGGCAGGTTGCTAATGAGCTCGCCACTGGTATGAGCTGAGCCATAGACCACTTGTGATAATCTGATAATTGCCAAACCCAGCATGTTTTGTTTGCTCTCATAAATATGGCTGTTGAAGCTGTTGGCAACAAAGACTTGTAGGCATTTCACTATATATTTATTTAATAGCAGTGGAGAAGGGGCTGTACAAATGGTAAGCAAAGGCACTTGAGGCCCTATTGGATCTATAGATCTCCCTCAACTGAAACAGTGTGCAAACATTATAGCCTACCTTCACCCAAAGCCTTGCAAAGACATCTGATTCAGTCTGAAACAAAACCAAGCTGCCCAAATCAGTTGAGTGGTTCTTGGCAAACTGTTTATCAGTAGGCTGAATCTGTGCTGCATAATTGGAGATTATGATAAGTAATAAGACTCCCAGGATGCCCTTAAAGTGCTATTTTGTGCTTTGGGAGTGCATATTCCATAGCGGTTCAAAGAAAGATAGCAGCATTTGTTAGCATCTCAAGTTAATCCTGTCTTGTCTATCTCTCTCCTAAAATGTTTAAATGACCACAGAGGTATATCGTCCTGTTTTTTATTTTTTCCTGTCATTATTACTTTATAGCCTATGGAGAGTAGTTTGAAGCAAAAGAGCGAAGCAGGAAACTGACAGTTCACTGGAAGATAACAGCATAAAGACCTGTTTGTGCTGCGAAACAGATTCTGTTGCAAAGATCAGTGCCATCAGCTCTGTTAAGAGAAAAGAGCTAATGGGGACTGTGTACCAGTATGGGCCTTATTTAAATAGGGCATCTGTTTTAGATCAAATTTGTCATTAAAGAGCCCTTGATGCCTCATGTAAAACTTTAAAATAATCTATTTGGAAAAGGGCTTGGTTATTCAGCCAGTATTTTCTATATTTTCTTTCCTTTTTCCTGTTGTTACCTGTTTCTTGGAATAGGTTGGTCCTTATGTACAGAGCTCTCTCTTTTTGTACCGGTCTGCCTACCTGTAATTTCCTCCAGATCAGTTACCATGGGCTATAGAGTGATAATAATAATAGGAAAGAAATCTTTTATTTAAGCGGCAAAAGAGATAAGTCCATAAGCCATCTACCTGTTCCTGTTTGTGACATCAGATGGTTTTGGTGGAAATGACTGCTTTGAATGAAAGATGAATTTTTGAAGTCAAGAAACATCAGAATCAGCAGTGCCCCAAAAAATCTGAGACAGTATTTTCATGCAGTTGTCCTTTCTTTCCGCATAGAATTATTTTTGTATTTTCTGTTAACCACTCCTGAGTCCTTAAACTCTGCAAGTGTCTGAAAACAGCTTATGTATAGATGCTGCAATAAGCACAACTATGCAGGGATTATTCTCAAGATGAATCAGAATGCAGTGGTTTTGAAATAATTGAGACAGCCTAAAATGTTTCTGTCATTCGGGTTAACAAGTGTGACCATTCTACTTTCAAGTAGTGCACCTGGTTCAGCCATCTCATTTCAGTGTTACCTTTTTCTTCTCTTAAATCTGTAGTTTGTACCTAGTTTTTGAAGTGTAGTCCAGTGCGTATAGAGTACAGATGCACAAAATGGATGGCTGGTCTTCTGGCATCAGCCACTGTTGAGGCTCTTAACTGAAATGTTTTGTATTTATCTGTCTGGCAGACAGTCTTCCAAGCAGAAACGGGCTATTCAGACTGCTATACGAAAAAACAAAGAAGCCAATGCTGTGCTCGCCAGGTTGAACAGTGAGCTCCAGCAGCAGCTGAAGGTAAGGAATGCATTGAAAATTGGTGACAAAGCTCCCTGCGATCAGTTATGTTCACCACCAGCAGAGAATCTTGTTCATCCTCCCACATGAGACCTACTGCATTACTTCCTGCTTTCTGGAAGGGAATAACTATACTGTCTGTGTGGGTAGGATGAGGCTTTCTGGGAAAACTTATGACCTATGGGCCTACAGCTCCACTGGCAGTTAGAGTAAGTCTAAAGGGTGAACTTTTGTCTTTCTGAAAAGTTTGAGAATGTGGTGTCACCTAGTGCAGAAGAGCAGCTCAAGTGTACCTTGCTTGTCTTCTGATCAGTTGTGCTACATAACTGTCTCCTGGAGTCAGGCATTTGGTATACATGGATGCCTAAAGCTTGCTTTACGTGAACATCTATTTTAGTGTCTGCCGACTTGTTCTCAAGAGGCTGGTTTCTTCTCAGTTCTCACTTTTCTGTTGTCTTAGTCCAAAGGTAGTACAGACTTCAGTTTTTCATCTGCTACAGCTTTTTCTTCCTTGCATATTATGAACCCACTTGTCTGGAAAGGGAGGTGAACCCCCATTTGCACTTTTTCTTCAGTCAACATGAAAGTTTGATGGCATGTTCAACTTTGCTTGACATAATTTCTTAACTGCTTTTCAAGGATCTCCCAAGAGAGATACAGAGTGGATGATCTGTACTGAAATTGTAGCAAAATATAGGACAGCAATCGAAATAAGCATGGAGAGGAAAGCTTTTAATGACAGTACATTGCTGTCATTCCTTGGCTCAGATCTTATTTGCTTCCATGCGCTATCTTCAACATGCTTAAACTCCCCGACCTTCACAAAGCAGGCCAATGCTGTTACCTGTATTTTACAGCAGGGTGAAAGAAGCACGGAAAGACAGAGAGATTTGCCTAAGTTCGCAAAAGAGCAGCAAACCGAACTTGTCCTTCAAGTGGTATTGCTGCCTGGAAGCTTTCTGATGGAGCAGGGCTTTGCTGCTGTTACGGAGACCAGAAGACGTGATGGGTGCCCCTCAGGCACAGCTTACGCTGAGGCACAGGGAGTGTGCGCTCCGGTGCTGGGGCTCTGAGCCTGCCCAAATGGGGTACTAAAGCCCGGAGCAGTCAGAGGTCAGCCTGGCTCCCACACTGGCCTGGGAGCCCTTTGATGGGAGGTCAGCAAGAACCGGGTGCCCCTCAACGCAGGGGCAGCCTCAAGACCAGGAGAGGCTTTCCCAAAATTGCAATCCCCAAAGCCTTCACCATTAGTTTCTGATCAAGACTGATGATCTTCCTGCCACAGCTGCCAAAGAGGTAGATTGCAAAGCCTGCGTCATCTTAGAAAGGCTAAGTTCCGTTCGTTTCGAAAAGGAAAGAGGTCGGTTGTGTGAACCAAAAATTCTCAAAAAGCAGTTTTGAGGGAAATGTGATTTCAAAATGACCTGATTTTCTTTGGTAAAAATGGCGAATTGTAGCCAGCTTCACTGCGTCCCAAGCTATTCCGCTGGCCAGCGGATGACTGCTCTTCTCCATGGTCACCTGAGCAAGTGATTGTGCCTCCGTATTGCCCCGCTGTCAGGAGGAGGCAGTAGTCGGCTGCGCGGGGTGGTCGTGTGGCATTGGTATGGTGCTGGGAGACTGCAAGGAGGGTTACTTAAACAGCAGAGCCCTGACCCTCCAGTCAATGGCGGTGGTTTGCCTGGCTGCTCTTCACCGGAGCAGTGTGGCACATGCGAGCATCCCAAAAATTACAGCGCGTCTCTCCCACCTGCAGGAGGTTCACAAGGAACGAATTGCCTTGGAAACGCAGCTGGAGCAGCTACGTCCTGTCACTGTCTTGTGACTTCCCGCACCGCCATGCAGTGGCAAGAGCACAGCGCGCATCCTGACAGCCTTGCAAGGAGAGGAGCGTGGCGCGGCTGAGCAGGGTTTCTGCCGAGGTGGTGGCGGTGGGGAGGACTGGCTTGTTGGGTCTCGTTCACCCCGCTGCGCACATTTGCCTTTGCGAGTGAAGAAGGTATAGAAAACTAATATCTGACTGCCGGATATTTCTGAGCAGGGGGATGCTTCGCCTTCTTTCCTCCCTCTTCCCAGCCTAATGTGTAAATGCAGCTTATCACTGAAATGAATAACCTGAGAGTATTTTATTTATGTAAAGAATTCCTGATTTATATGTGTTCTGGCAGCACCTCCTGCCCTGATCATTAAGAGGTACAGCATTCCTGAATTCTTGCGTAAATTTAAAACTCATCCTCTGAGATGGTCTTGTGGATGTTACTGATTCCTGTAGGACTGAATCATGGTAGAGTACCTGTGGGTTTTAATGTACTACAGGAATAAAAGTCACTAGACGTACAGAGTCTTTATCCGCAATCATGTCAGATAATTATTTTCTTAGTACTGTTTATTATGCAATCACAGATGTATTTTAATGTTAGAGGACTTGTATTTTATAAGTTCAAATCATATGACAGAACAGTAAAAAATACTAAAACTTAATTATTTTGGAAATTAAAAAAATTTTTTGAGCTATAAATGTTTCCTATCACCAGTGTTTGATCACTTGCTTGCAACTGCCAGTGTCTCTGCATAGTTTTAGCATGTTTGAGATCACTGGTTTATAGCTTTTTTTTCCTTCTTTGTGTTTTTTAACCAACAGTGTATTCCTAACAAGAGGCTAAAATGCATTTGGGGCATTTTTGTAAAAGCTGTTCTCTGTACATTGGTATTACTCTGCTTTGTTGTCTTAATAGCTGCTGATTTGTTTTAAGGATGTGTACAAGAACTGTATTTCCAAAAGAAGAAAGGTAGCAGAAGTGCTATATATGAGGTTATAAAATGTGTGATGGAAATAATTGCCTTCTACAACAGGCTTTCATTAAGGTTCCTTTGCACCTCACTGGAGATGCTACTGATAGGATGAAGCTGCTAATGCTCGTCTGTTTTCTAAATGAAGAAGCAAGGATTAATTTTTAACCTGGGTCTGATCCGGGGCCAACTGAATCCTGTGGGGATTTTTCCATGGATGCAGTGGTCGTTGGCTTTGGTCTCAGTTCTCGTAATGGAAGCTGGCTGACTAATGTTGCTTTATTTCTTGGGCCAATACTCTTAGATTGGGTGACTTCAGACATAACGATGTCAGCCCTGCTCCCTCCATGGATGCGATGTGTGCTTCACTGCAAGGGAATGTCACCTGCCTGTTATCTGTCTTAAACATAACGCTGCACGTGTTTCATATCCTGTTGTTCACTGACTTAATTTAAGTGTATGCATTTGCCTTGCAGAAATGGTGCAACAGTGTTTTACTGTTGTTGGTGCGATGCTTTCTCCCTGTAGCTATAGGACGGCCCTGGGGCTGAGAGGAAGGAGAAGCAGGTTTGAAGCAGCTGGGTAGCCTTCCTTCAGCGTGTATCATGGAATGGCTGCAGTGGGGTATTGGAGGACATCACAGTAGCCAAAAGTTTTGCTGAGAGATAAGACAGATATCAACAGGAATGCTTGAAGTGATGAGGAAGCAGCCTACTTTTGCTGAAAGGGATATGAATGTAGGACATGGATCCAGAAGTCTGAAGGTGAAAATAAACATTTGAGGAATTGTTACTGAAAATCTGGTTTTGTGACACATTGGTTTCGATTCAACTACACATTGCTATGTCAACAAGCAACAACCATTTCTCTGGATTTGGGACTTCTTTTGTGCAACTGGTGCATAGCTGGTGTCAGACGGTCATTCCTGGTCAGTGACAAAATGCGAGACCTGCAAATTTCTGGGAAGCTGCAAAATGGCTACTGCCCTCTTGCTAGGAGCGGTACTGTTCAGAAGTTACCATCATTTATTTCATATGTTCACAACACTGAGCCATTCCTGAAATTTTAATGAAGTGCTCACTCTTTGTTTGCTTTTTAGTTCTTACATTGTCATTTAGTTAATATGCACCTACTATTTGATAGGAAATGATCATATGGCATGTTTGGTTTTTATTTTATGGGTGATTTTTTTAAGGAAAGCTTTTCAATGATTACAAAGAAGTGTGCACATTGCCTTTTTAAGGCAGTGGAAGACTTTATAATGTTTGATAGGAGCTTCCTCTAGAATAATCCCCCATTTATTTCACTTGGGTTATTCATGGAATAGATGCTGTTCAAAGGAAGAGTGGAAAAGTCTGCTTTATATGTCTTATTCAAATGTCTCCCTTCTAACATACAGGGGTTTTTTCATTCACTGGAAATTAGGATGCTTGGTTAGCCAACAACAAAATACTTACTCAGTTTTTACTCTACCACAGGACTTAATAAATTAAAAGTTTAACCATCCCTGCATTTTTAGGGTTGCAGTCAAATGCCCCACTCAACTTCAAGGCCTAGAGTGTGAGCTGATTTGTATTCCGTTTGGTGAAATGTCGGCTATGATGATGATACACTACTTCACAGAAAGTAAAGCAGAAAATTCAAGGAGAAATGTTGGTGTGTTATATATATGATGCAGGAAGTTACTCTTCTGTATGTCTCAGTACTTAAGCATTCATGATAGCCCATCCAAAATGAAAAAGTGTGTCTGGTTTTGGGGAGGCCGTTAGCATTTTGAGAGGGAGAGAAGGCATCGTGAAGCTATAGACACTGCTTCTGGCAGTTGCTCCATGCAGCCACGCTCATGGCTACTATTAACCGACCCTGGCTGATCAAAATTCACATCTAAATCCAGTGTCACAGACTTTCTCAAAAAGTATTTTTCCTTTGGAAAAATGTGACCACAGCAAAATCATTATTTCTTGCAGAAACCTTTACTTTCTGAAACTCTGTGTGGGAGATGCTCATAGACCCAAGACAGACCATCTGGTCAGAAAGGGAGACCTCACAGGCAGTTTGCTCAATGTTCAGGGCACTTTCTTGAGCTACAGGAGAGCGATCAGCTTTAAGCCCCTCATGTGCCTGACCCAGAGCAGCAGCTAGGATCTGCCTGTCCCAGTTTACAGCCTGACCGAGGATTGAGAGCAGCTTCCCACGCATGAGGTCTCACTCTCCTCAGTTCATGGTTTCTGTAGGTACGCAGAGCAGAACATGCCCAGCAAGAGAGGATAACTGCCAACAGGAGCTGCAGCACGGCTTCTTTGCATCTGGGAAGATGTGCTAACCATGAGCCTGGTGCCCCTTTCTAAGTCTTCAATTTCCTGCAGCTATTCTGATTTGAACAGTTAAATATTTTTGTCTGCAGGACAAGACTAGGCAGAGCAGATAGGGATCTTCCTCAGTGTGTGTGTAAGTGTGCACTCACGTGTCTTCCTTTTGATCATGCATTTCTTTATGGATCTGTTAATGTTCATATCATCTGATACCTTTCTATGAAATACTTGTTTCAATACACGGTAATTCTAGTGGTGAAAAAAGAAAAATGCCCAGCTAAATGTAGTGACTGGTTGCCTTTGTAGATCAAGCCATTTTTATTTGAGCCTTTAAATATAAATAATGACCTGGTAATTAAGCAAGGCAAACAGCTTCCGTTTCAGAGGCATTCCTTTAAACAAACTGCCTATGAACAAACGTTAATCCTTAATGATCAATGTGCTTCTCCTAGTTACTAATTTTATACTAGGATGCAGAGGAAACATTACCACCTCTTTCCAGACAGTTCTCAGGTCTCTCTTCCAGAGAGTTTTGGTGACATAGCAAAAATGTCAGTGCTTAGTGGATTCATCCCTGTTATTGGCAAGTTGGTGAATATCCTTTTTAACTCAAAAGATTATCTCCAAGCTGTTTTTACGTGCACGGCAATAGTTTTGGTGCTGGGAGTTCTGTATGCACATCGGGGAGAGGAACTTGTTCGGCTGTCATCCAGACAGTCCCAACTTCACTCTGCCGGGGCTAACCAGCATGGGGTGGTGACAACTTGCATGGTAAAATGACCCCCTTTGATGGGATGGTTGGACTTGGAACCCTTCACAGGAGGCATTTAGGATGGGCATGATAGGAAATTTGCCTTTTGGTGGTGTATAAGCTGCTTTCCTCCCAGCTGAGCTTCCAGATCAGGAGAAAGAGAGCTTGTAAAAGTTGCTAGCCAGGGAAAGAGAGGTGTCTGTTTTCCAGCACCATCAGCCCTTTGGCCTTCAGCACACACCGTCCTTGACAAGAAAATACACAGCGTCACAAAGCCACATATTTTATTGACTAAGAGTAAAAGTATTTTTTCAGGAAAAAAAATATATCTGATGTATTACCTTTGAGAAGAGATATGTATTTTGAAGCTTTTTTCAGTTATCTTCATGATAATGTGCTATGAACATTTGCATTATGTTTTACTCTGTTACTGATTTTTTGATATAAAGAAATCGTATTGCAAGCATTATCATTGTTAATCTAAAAAAATTACCCTGAGGCTATTATATATTTGAATTTTAACTTATAAAGTCAATAGCCAGATTTAAGCAATTTGTTTTCACAGCTGCAGACTGTCCATGTGGTAAGCTGCAAAATGTATGGTGTTCTATACTATGCCCATCTAATTTTGGAAAATGTATGTGATAGAGAGCTGGGTGCTACATTAAAATAAAAGCGTCCAGTAACTTCAAATTGCCTTGCCTTTGTGGTTTATTTAAGATGTCAATTGTGCAGATCTGCCAGGAGAGCAGAAACCGTGACTCGCTGTGGAAAAAATACAGCATTGAAATGGCTGACCTTCAACTATAAGAGATTAAATCACTTACGTTGGGATTGTGTGTACGCGAGAGAGACAGAGGGAGACTTATGTAAAGTGAAATCATATTTCCTTAGGCTTCGGTTAAGTCCAGACTTCATCTTTACTTTGTTAGGCCTCGCTTTATCAGAATTCAGAGTTAGCTCTGTGATTAAGCCCAAAGAGGTGCACCCTTTTCTAACCTGGATGGTACCACCATGAAGGAAAAGCCCTTCCAAGCCTCCAGCAGACCCTTGGTCGGAGGGTGCCCAGGCAGGAGCAGCGAGAGGACTCAAGCCATTCCCCCCAGTACTCCCATGACCAATGTTTTCTGCTCCTCATCAACTGTAAGGGCTGAAATTAAACTGGGAAAACATTTGGAGAGCTGGCCTTTGTGGGCAGGGAGCTGGAGGGGACCCTGTACTTAGTCTTTAAGTAGGGTGATTTTTTTTAAGAATTATGTCACTTCTATCCAAAGAGAAGGGCTTTAAAGGAGGAAATAATTAGTGATAAATTAATTCTTATAGCATTAAGCCATGACAAGGGATGTTTTATTGGCCTAAAAGAGTGTCTTTGGTGCATGTGAGACACAAGGCCA